ATGTCTTCCGATAATGCTTCCACATCAGCTGGAGGAAGTGAGGTGTTTTGCCTGTCGAGAGTACTGACAATGTTTTCCTTTACTTTGCAATTATTAGATTATGGACGATGTGCCAATAAAACAATCTATAACCCCAAAGAGCTGTCTTATGACTATTTGTTACAACGAACTTTTTGCGTGATCCATTTGATAGATCGCGATTTGCTCCGGAAAGTCTTTAGGACTTACTTAGCGGATTTGTTGTTGTACTGTAGTACATTATGGCTGTACTTATATGAAGGAAGAAATTATATTCGTTCATGGTCACTCACTACCAGACTAAATGCTTGAATAAATTGGTGGGAGTTTTGGAGGTTCTATCGTGACCAAAACCTTTGTATTAAGTGCTATATTCTCATCAAAATTGACCCAACAGATTTGTCTGCCATTTTAAAATAAACGTGAATGACAGCATGAAGTTAGCTGAGTTTTTTGTTTTTGTCGTCATCTGGAACCATGGGTTACAGAAAACAGCTTCCGCTTCCTTTTGCGCGGTAAAGTTTTGTTACAGGTTAATGGTCAACATCTTGAACTTAGCTCTTTCGGCTGCTACGAAGTTGTTCGGTTTGAAGTGTTGAAGAATTTTTTCATCAATGTAGTGTAAGAAATATCGATTGGATCAACGTCTACGCCGCCTTGCCAACGAAATGTAGGAAACATGCAGTGAGTTTCTTATCATCCATATGGGATTTTGTGAGGCGCCATATGTCGAACGGTTCCAAATAATCCTCTACGTCACCAGCGGTTGAATCGACATTTAATGGTCTCATTTCTGCAAGCATGCTGAATTGTTATAATCGCGACGCCAAAATGTGAGAATTAAGTTTCGTACGTATATCGGTATAACCAGACGAACTAGAAATCCAGAATTCAGCGAAGCGTAACAACCCGCACTTATGTATTCGAATTGGCGTACATATACAGCATATGGAACATTAAAACAAGAGAATAATGATTAGCGCAATGAATAGAGTATCAGTCATGTTCATCACAGATGACCTGTAGATGTTGTCACACTCTCAAAGGAAACCGAAGAACGCCAATATATCCCAGAGTGTGATTTCGTGATTTATCTCTCGTAAACCCGAAACAACGAGGGAATTCGTGATGGTCGGTGACCTTGAAAATTTGGCAGATTGAAACGCGATGCCACAAGCCGCAAACGGATTAGACTAACTCATCGTAAAAGTCTCAATCTCGAAAGCCCTAAGGATTTGGCGAAAATAATTTGGATGCGCTTGTAGTGACCGACAGTTATATCTGCTTGAGTTCAAAGTGGTTTAAATGCCTGGTCACGGCAAAATAAATGAGCTAATTTACTGCTAATCATATATGGAAGAAAGCGACGGCTGTCATAAGGTGTTCGAGTAAAATAACGTGTATTGGGGACACTTTGGGTATTTGGGCATATTTTCCAGGGCAAAGCCAACTTGTGAGCTTGATAAACTATGCATGCAACGTAACTCTCAAGAGTAAATCTCGCTTGCCCTAATAAGAATTACACGTCAAAGTGCCATAACGATTGGGTGAGTCGACCTAATGCTGGCTTGAGGAAAACTCACCTGCTTTTATTTCACACAAAGCCCTTGTTAGCTCGTAGGACGCCAAAACTTGTGAGAGTATTTTGATACCAGCTTACCAATCCCACGTCGGTTGCAAATCCGTGAAGAATATTTTAGTGGCGACAGCCAACAGCGACGCGCTGGGCTGGGCTTTCATGGATCAACCATTTTCCACATCATAGAGTGCCACTCTGGCTGATCTCTTGACAGTATTAAATGTGCGCTTGCGGGAGGTGCCAGCGACTAAATGATATCGTCTCAGTGTTGTAAGCACAATCGTTTGATGAATGTACCCGCAGAATTACTCCACACCACAGGCCACTCCCTTTATCACGGCATTGGCCGTGGTATGGCAATCAGTCCCACGGACACCAGTTATCAACGGGATCAGTCGGTAGGCGTGGAGATATCTTCCGTTGGTGAAGACCAGAATCTTGGTTGGAGATGATGTCCCACAACACAGTGGCTGGCTGTTCAAACTAGTAGTCGAAGCATGGCGTAACGTCAACAGTACCTGATTAAATAGGTGCTTCATGCATATTGTGGCGTTATGCCTCTCAGAAAACTTCATTTTGCTGACCACCGTTTTTGGCTCCTTGTACAACGCTCCCACAGTTGACGGCTGATGCTTCAGAAAAAGGGATAATCTTGCTCTGATAAGTGGTGTTCGGCTACAGGCTTCCCGACTGGCACAAGTCAATCCGATGATACTCCAATTTCGGCTTGCATGTGCCACTGAGTCGGAAAACCCAGTTGGTGGCATATCATCGTGAATCAGACCACACCTGAGGTTGTCGCCTGTCACAATTGTGGGTGGTGTGTCTCCCACGCGTATTTACCACCTAGTCTGACGAGAGGTCTTCTGGATGGCCTGGTCCATGCTACTGGCGTGGCGCATATGCTTCTTAAATGGCGTTTCCAATCCTCAGGACAGTTACTAGTAACTTTTTCCAAAGTGATCTGATCCGTGCTTCAAACGATTATCCACTGTCAACTGACATATAGCCCGCAGTAGCAGGCGAATCCAAAACCGACACTCAACGGGGTTGCCAAGGCATGGCAAAATTTACGCGGTTATTCTTGGTGAATAGTTACTTGCTCAACCGTGGTAACAACGTGGAAATGCGTGCAACAAATCGACTGAAGTTGCCTACACGAAAAAATGGTATGTTTACGGAACGTACGTGCTTCCTCAAGGTTTAGTTTATATGAAGACAGCACAACAATAAGTAGCAGTGAAACACGTTCGGCAGCCTACATGTGTGGTGTTATTTTATCTATCACGAAAGGCTTGTTACAGTACCGATTGCTCGCGTACTTCAAAAACTAGACGTTTCATGCAGAGACGTGGAATGTGTGGCTTCTCCGATGATGTATATGACCAGTCGCCCAACAGACGTGTCACTCACCACAAAGAAGACGTATAGTTTGTATATGAACAGCAAGTCAGGTGGTACTGGACAATTCATGCATGATGAGCTTGGCCTTGCGCGGCATCAATGTTTGCGAGAAATGAGAAGCGCAACTGAGGTCTGCTTGTTGAGTGTGGGTTGAACTAGCCAATGTGTGGGTACAAAGCCAATTTCGCGGGGTGTTGCAAGAAATGACGATATGTTATCCGACTAAGTAAACAAAGCTTAACATCAACCCACTCAAAGATGCAGGTTGGCTATTGACGAGATACCTTCAGTCGTATTAAATAATAATGTTTATTCCCATCCTTTGGGTGGCATGCCGCCAGACATGATCTTAATGTCAGTCAGAATATATGCACAACTGGCTGTGTCTGTGGGTACAGAGGATCTTGATAGCGTCACAGACTGTGGGCATTGTCCAATGAAGACTTAGTCACCTCCAAATCAGCGTGGGCAGGGAATCACAGTTACCATTGCGTTTTGGTCAACACCTTCCCGCATGCACCTGAAACGTATCACTGCATCTGTGATGACGGTGTGCGATGATTAAGCAGAGCATTGCACTCTTTTAACTTGTTGCATTTTAGGCGTCGTTTGAGAGGGAGACTGTCAGGAAGAAATCAGCTCATGCAACAGTTCTGTCGCAGATGCTCACCATCAGGTAGCCATTATCACAGCGAAATTAAACCTTGCCTAACACGCGGTGAAGTGTGCTGTACGCCATAAAAAACATCCCGGCGCGAGCCAGGATACGTCAGTGGTTAAAGCGCGAACTTACTGACTGGAGGGCTCACGGCTCGCAGCTGATCACATCTAGACTAGTCCTGTTTAGACTTCCGCAAAGTGGCAGTATCTCAGCTCTCATGATTTCTTCGGGTGGCATGATAGCTGGGTACCGAATCGATGTTACAGCTGGACCATTCCATACCAAAAAACTGGGCCTTACGGAGGTGTGACTGTTTGTGCACTCACACAACCTAATGAGATATACTGGGGAGTGTACGTGTGACACTCACAGAGGCTCTCATAAAAGGTTGGCCAATTGGTAGAGGTGTGTCAGTAGCCCCATTGTTGCCTGGCGGTTAAGTATTCGAGCCGGAAGAGTCCAAGAACTACTCAGCTTCTGGGACGGGCACTTCCAGTTTGTTGTTTTTAACAGTGGGCACCTTAAAAGTGTCATTCCTGCCTATTGGGCGTGGCACACAGGATGGGCAACTGCGTTCAGTCCCCAACTACACGTGCTTGTTCGTTTTCACTCGTCATTCAGCCTGTCCGTAACCCAAGGGGTGTTACCTAATCAACAAGGGACACAGTTTGATCACTGGATTTTGTCCACTTTTTCTTCAAAAGTTCCAATAGGATTGAGAATACAAGAGATCCATAATCTCGGGTTCGAAATCGTTCTACTGAACGAGTTGAGTTGAATTTATCAAGAGAAAGTTCATTGTATATTTAGGAGATCCAGATAAACTTGCTCAACAGGAAGTCCTTCGCTACCCTACTAAGTAAAAGCTTTCCCACTGAAACAAACAAGAAACAGACGAGGGTGACCCAATCTCGAACCGAGTTTTATTTGGACAGCTGACTCGCAATTACCGATCCAAAAATGGATAAGAAGTTGATTACAGAAAGCAAGAAATGGCAGCAATGAAAGTACAATAAAAGCAGCTGATTGAATGACCTCCCAAGACAGCTATGTGAATAGGAGCAACAGAAATCCAAATGGACATGCTACCAAATTTCGAGGATGATGGAGTAGAATAAATGCACGTTTGGGTGGCACCCGTGTCAGCAACAACCCCCTGTTGGAAACAGAGTCAGGATACTGAGTTTGTATGGTTGACCCAAATGGCCAAAACTGAACCACACTGTCGACCTGTACTGGAAAGAACGTGCAGATTTTATTCTCAAAAAAAAATGACAAGCAGAAAACGTACTACTGGTATCTAAATTTGAGTAACAGAAACCGGAACCACGGAAACAACTACCGATGGGAGGATGGCAGCCGATGTCCTCCGATGTTAAATTGTGGTAGGGCAGCAAACGCTGCTGCGGCAGCTTGTTGTTGCTGTTGGTGAAAGGTCGGATGGCGTGATACGGAGCTGCCTATTTGGCCTGGATACCGATGGCGATCGCCGTGGTCCGAATCCCCAACTGCTGTAAAATCGGGGAGCTGTGGGCCCGCAGCGTACGCTGCGGCTGCTGCCAGTGCTAAAGCATTCATCATTGCCGGATCCTGAGAAAAATGCGTTGTAAGAAATACCGAAACGATTTTGAGTGAAGAGCGTACAGGCAAAATAAGAGGTTGCAGGAAGCCGATGGCGTGATACGGAGCTGCCTATTTGGCCTGGATACCGATGGCGATCGCCGTGGTCCGAATCCCCAACTGCTGTAAAATCGGGGAGCTGTGGGCCCGCAGCGTACGCTGCGGCTGCTGCCAGTGCTAAAGCATTCATCATTGCCGGATCCTGAGAAGAGTGCGTTGTAAGAAATACCGAAACGATTTTCAGTGAAGAGCGTACAGGCAAAATAAGAGATTGCAGTGAAAGTACTGAAACGGTTTCTATAGAAATTCAATTATTGCCTAGCAAAGGAAGTTATGCCGGATGGTGAAATTTCAACTCCCACGAAGGTAACTAAAAAGCCAATTTATATTGTTCTCCTCGTGCATAGCTACCGCACAACCACAAGGAAACAGACAGCTGAACTAGTACTGAGTTGCCTAAGCCCAAAAGGGTGTAATCCAAGGGCTAGAGGTGGAGTCCACGCGGGTCCACGTGCACACCCCTCTTGGGTGTGCACTAAATAGTGAATCAAAGATAAGAGAGTACAACTCACTACAAAAATTTGATGGAGATGGTCAGTAACAGACGAGGGTGACCCAATCTCGAACCGAGATTTATTTGGACAGCTGACTCGCAATTACCGATCCAAAAATGGATAAGAAGTTGATTACAGAAAGCAAGAAATGGCAGCAATGAAAGTACAATAAAAGCAGCTGATTGAATGACCTCCCAAGACAGCTATGTGAATAGGAGCAACAGAAATCCAAATGGACATGCTACCAAATTTCGAGGATGATGGAGTAGAATAAATGCACGTTTGGGTGGCACCCGTGTCAGCAACAACCCCCTGTTGGAAACAGAGTCAGGATACTGAGTTTGTATGGTTGACCCAAATGGCCAAAACTGAACCACACTGTCGACCTGTACTGGAAAGAACGTGCAGATTTTATTCTCAAAAAAAAATGACAAGCAGAAAACGTACTACTGGTATCTAAATTTGAGTAACAGAAACCGGAACCACGGAAACAACTACCGATGGGAGGATGGCAGCCGATGTCCTCCGATGTTAAATTGTGGTAGGGCAGCAAACGCTGCTGCGGCAGCTTGTTGTTGCTGTTGGTGAAAGGTCGGATGGCGTGATACGGAGCTGCCTATTTGGCCTGGATACCGATGGCGATCGCCGTGGTCCGAATCCCCAACTGCTGTAAAATCGGGGAGCTGTGGGCCCGCAGCGTACGCTGCGGCTGCTGCCAGTGCTAAAGCATTCATCATTGCCGGATCCTGAGAAGAGTGCGTTGTAAGAAATACCGAAACGATTTTCAGTGAAGAGCGTACAGGCAAAATAAGAGATTGCAGTGAAAGTACTGAAACGGTTTCTATAGAAATTCAATTATTGCCTAGCAAAGGAAGTTATGCCGGATGGTGAAATTTCAACTCCCACGAAGGTAACTAAAAAGCCAATTTATATTGTTCTCCTCGTGCATAGCTACCGCACAACCACAAGGAAACAGACAGCTGAACTAGTACTGAGTTGCCTAAGCCCAAAAGGGTGTAATCCAAGGGCTAGAGGTGGAGTCCACGCGGGTCCACGTGCACACCCCTCTTGGGTGTGCACTAAATAGTGAATCAAAGATAAGAGAGTACAACTCACTACAAAAATTTGATGGAGATGGTCAGTCTCCACCTCTAGCCCTTGGATTACACCCTTCTGGGATGTACTAAGAAAGGAGTCCTTTGGAAAGCTAAACAAAGATACTAACACAAGTGGGAGGTAGAAATAATGCAGGCTGGTTGTGCCAAACATACTTGTAGTCCCAGACCGGGGGCTAAACCAGCAGAATGTGTCAATTGACTCAATTGAGCCAGTTGCGATGGTGACGGGATATGACCCGGGTTGAACACGCTCGCAAAGTTTGGAGTCATGTTTGGAATCAACAATGGGGTGGCTGTTGAGAAACGGTTCGATGGAGTTGTAACTGTTGGACTGGACATCATTCGTGACTGATTTGTGGGAGCTCCCACAAGTGGCCTACTGATAGGCGGCAAACCGCAAGCTGTCTGTGAGGGCAGGAGCGACGGGGACGGTGAACCGGAGGTAATTCCACCAAATGGACCGGATGGGCGACGACGGAAAGGGGATGCAGATCCAAGGCGATCAGGGTGAGCTCCAGTACTACTGCTGTTTCCGGCACCGGTAGCAGGAATTCGCATGTCAAACGGAGGAAGAGACATGCCTATCGGTTTCGAAGGTTGAGTACCGAGATGCGAGGGCGTTACAGTCAACTGGCTCTGGGTTTTTTCATGCGCAGCGAGCTCTGCCAGAGCGGCAGCAAACGTAAACGCCTTACTAGGGTCAGACTGCATGTTGGCTGGAAACGAAAAGCGAGGTAATGATGGTATACTACATGTCTTGAAAATGAAGCATAGTGGTTCGGCAAAACAAAGGCCACGACCGGAGACATCGTCGCCTAAAGAGCAACACGTGTTGATCCAAAGTTTTATACACATGGATCTTGTTGAATCCTGCCACGTACTTTACAAATTCTCTTAAGTGTAAACATTCCAGTCAGCCTATGCAGGTAAAAAACGGATAGGAAAAGCTGAAGAGAACTTTACTTATAGTGTAAAGTTCGGTATGCATTGTCTACCTGTAATTGTCATATGCCGCTTAAGATGCCAGGATTACAGCTCAGGTTATTCAGCAATGATTCATTCTGACTGTTTTGCGCATAATGGATGTAAAGTTATTGACAGTAGGTCACACGTAGGGTGAGGACCACCTACGCAACTTTGACGACTAGACAAACTACCACACAGATCTACCAAACAAAAGATTGCCCGGCTTTACAACGCAACTTGCCCTTACTACCGAAAATCACCTTTTGGATACGGCGTCTTCATTATCACAGTAGCCTCTTGAAGAAAATGTCCCCTCAAAAAAAGCTTGGTCGAAGTATTCTAACTCTGAGGAAGAAAACTATTCATGGGACAGGGGTTCGACCTAAGTTCAAATGAAGCCGTTAAACTGTGACATGCTTTTGATGCACAGGTGCCGAGCACCCTAACGAAAGAAAAAGTACTGAATTACTGCCAAGATGTCCGACTTAGAAAGGAGTAATCGGAGAGCCGGGATTGCGCTTGAACCCAGGACTTTTCGGTTTCGGGACCAAGTTTTAAGTGACGAATCAGTGGCCTTTGAGATAGACAGTCGATCAGATCTATTAACAGTTCAAATCATTTTCTCTTTGTCTCGGATCAATTGAAACAAAGGATGTTATCAGGGGTCAGGACACTATTTTTACGCGAAACCTCACTAACGGAGGCATTGTTCAACCTTCTCTGTGTTCTCAAAATGAGGTATCTGTTCACTGTCATTCAGTCTCATGTTTTGGGATGTATGACTGGTTGTCCTCAGGCCATCCTCTCACAATCTTTGGTATATTAATAAACATGAATGGTCCAACTATCCAATAGAGTACAGAGAGAGGATTGACTTTTATCCGCGACCGTGTGTGCTGATGGATTAAAACTGAATTTGCACTTCAAACGGAATGGAAACGGTCAGAATTCTCAGTCTACCGAAATAATCGACATATATTTTCACCATTTTCCTTGCCAATTGGTATGAAGGGTGGAGCGACCGGCTTGCACTAGACAAGCAATTAAATTCATAGGACAGAATTTGGCTACATGCTTGTTTTCTGAACGGCAGATGAATCAATAACCCAAAAACACTATCATGAATCGTTTTCAGGCAACTACTTANATATAAGCGAACCAAAGAACTTAAAGTTGTCGAACTTAAAGTTGTCCAGAACCGAAAGTTTACACTTAGCTAGAATCCAGAGGTGAGGAGTGCCATGCGACAAAGGTTTCCCGCGAAAGACTTAACGTACCTGTCGAAAATAACGGGAATGTCAAATCCACCTGTTAAACATGTCATCTCAACTCTGTCAGCCTCCCATTGGATAATCTAAGAAATCTACGTGTGTAAGTAGAATGAGGCATCAGCCGTCTGTGACGTTTTAAACTAGCTAATGACGGCTAGATCGTTAATAAGAAAGGATATTTCAAAAGCGCATCATCTGAGACGGCTTCCGGATAATCAGTCATCAGGACATCACCTTTCAATTATACGCTGGAACGAGGCCATGGTGACCAGGTGGCAGAAAGCAGTGGTGTTACCATTGGTTCTAACTACTAAAGCTGGTGCGAACAGAGCAGAAATTTGTTTGACCGACTGAACAGTTAACATTTCAGAGAAATTTGATAAACAAACGGTGGATTTATTACTGAGCAACGTTTGGCTTTTGACACAAAAGCCTCGTCAGACAAAGTGAATAAGTTACCAGGTTGACCGAATTTTAAAGCAGTCAGAGAACCAATCGGCGAGATTTCTTACGACTAGCCGACTTGATCAATACTGGATGTCAGTCTGAATTTCCTGTTTCTTGGTTAGCGTGAATGACTAACACTTATATTAGGTTCGTTAGGGTGATTGGCTTCAAGTTGTGTCAAAGCGAAAGGTTGCTCAGCAATAAATCCACCGGTCGCTTACCGAATTTCTCTGAAACGAAGACACCAGACCTGTTCCTACCTGTGGTCCTCATTTCAAACATATTTCCACCACTGATCTAACCCCGTGTGACCTGAAACTTCAGTTATCTTCCAACTCGATTCGTTATACGTATCCGGTAATGATTTGTTCTCAAACCTTATGTTCGGTTTTACGTTGGTTATTGGGTAGACAGATTTCTGTCAGTGAACTTCTTGGTTTACAACATAAACAACAATTTGCTATCCCTCACATAACGCAGTGAAAGTTGATTGACGTGTCACAGAATTACACAATATCTGATAATACCTACAGGCAACAGGTAGCAGTTTTTGAAGATATCACATGTTTATCAGTTGATCACTGCTCCCCAACACCTTTCCGTTTGATATGAACAGTCTTCCCTTCGCCTTTGAGGGAAAAGTGTGTTGCGTTTTTATGAAGTGATCATCTAAGGATCTGGGAGATTCCCGTTAAATAAGCCTGGGTGAGTCAGCTAATGTTTAGACATTTCGTTGGTTTTGAAAAGAGTTGAATCAATCACTATGTACCCCACGTCTCATGATTGGCTGCAACACACACAAACATGGGTCCAACCTTGGTAAGGAAAGTGTAGTCATCGAGCTCATCAGTCAGTACAGCCAATGATCACTGGAGACAATCAATGAAACTAGACTTGGTCATGAGTTGCCGGAAGTAAAAATAAATCGATTCCCATGTCAATCAGTGGTGGCATCTTCTGATTTCCGAGAAAGGTGGTTATTGTTGGGTTTCGTGTTTTATCTGTCAGTCGAAAGGCAAAATTAGCGTAACCTCTATTGGAGGGAGGATTCAAAAGCACCTATAAAACTGGTCGACACAGAGTTTCGACGCAGTCACGTTCGAAGCGAAAGCGTTAAAGTTCACCAATAGATCTTTGGCTACAATGTCTCCAAAAACAGTTGCCGTCATATTTTCAGTGAACATCGGAAACCATAGTAAGAATGCAGAAACTCGGCTGACTACGTGGATAGTTTACAAGGGGGTATCACTAACGAACAAATAAATTGATAACAGACACTGGAAGACAACTTTTCCGCCCATTTGCTGTATGGCTACAGCATCCAGGCAGTTAACTTACCCGCTAACATAGCAAGTTTTGCGGCATTGAACATTTGTTCCTGTAACTGCTGGGCTGCCGAGATGCTAGAACTTTGGCGACTAAACGAGGCGCTGGAAACTGAACTATTAGCAATTGTCGTGGAAGTGGGCAGTCTAGAGTGAGCACTGGATGTTGAGGCAGCTAACGCTGGGGAAAGATAACTTGTAGTTAGGGCCGAAGCAAGCGAAGAATGTTTTGAGGCGGTAGTATTAACCCCCAGGTGACAGTGGGGGGNAACTGGGTAGGGAAAGTTGCACATGCGAATCCTGCGAAGAAGCCAGTCCACTTGGATGCCGAGAATAACTTGAGGCGTGTGAACCCGACGAATGGCGATAGTGGGGTGACTGAACGGAGGCTGTTGGACGCGTAGATATGCTGTTCACGGCAGAAGTCATCGCTCCTGTGTTGGTTACCGGTGGAGGAGGATAAAGTAGTGGATTCGTATGACCATTCGAACTATCGCCGAATGTACCACCACCTGCGCCCAGGTTCGCACGAGCGCGTAGCAGCATTTCAGTTGCCGTAGTAAGAAAGTCCTGTTGATCATTCGCCGGCAGGTTTGCCGATGGGTAGCGAAGATGAGTCAACTTCTCGGCCATCAGCAGCCGAAAAGCTTCAGTTTCGCGAGGATCCACCGACCCGTAGAGTAAAGCAGGATCAGGCAAAGTGGCAGCTGTGTAAGAAAGAGAAGCTTGGTTAAACTCAGTTCAGCTAGTATATGACGCTATACAGTACAGGTAAAAAGGGGAAAGAGAAATCACTGTGCGTAGAAGTGTCTAAATGGAAAACATACAGTCCATGTAGCTTCCAATTTATTGAAGAAATCCACTTCTGATTTCGAACGTATTGCGAGCGAAAGCCAATCGTGGGGGCTACAAAAGGTAGCAAGACACCAGGTGTGCGGTTAAAGCTGTGCCTTGGGTTGAGTGGCCGTTGATTTATTCACTGGGCAATTTGTTTGCATGCGTTTCATTAACAGTCGAAGTGACGTCATCCGAGCGTTGTGACTGGAAGGCATTTGCAACTAAATTGCCCAGCTCAGTGAACAAATCACCCTCCAGTATTCAGATAGTGGAGCCACACCGCCAAGCTCTTTCCCCAATGCTTTTTGCGGTCCCCAAGATCTATTGGCAGATGTTCGGATTGTCTGTTTAAGTATTCCACTCGCAAACTGGAATTCAGTTAAGTTGCGACCCACCGAACACGCCAAGGCAGATCCTGTGCGCTACGACCGATCGTCCTAATCCAGGTTGTTGTGCATTTGCACTACCGGCTAAGGCAGCACAGTGTGAAGATGACTCGCCCATGTAAATTTGACTTGTGCGCAAGTACGGTCCACCAAAACATGCCTAACCGCTTTACGAATACACACTAACTTTCAAAATACAGCAAATTCGAAATCTTTACTCAACGACCGTATGACACAGCAACAGGAAGGCGAAACGTGGACACACCGATGTGGATGTGCCAGACACGACCACTTCGCTCCATCGCAGGAGGTAGCTACATAATACAGTAAGGAAAACTACAGCAGGTTTATTTGAAACGATTGAGTGAAGCATATGAATCGCCAAATTCTGGAGTGCTGGAAACAGGAAAATTTAAAATACACAGATTTATCGTGACAAGGTTGCAACAGCTTTGTACTGGAGGTTCAATCCAACCAAATAACAAATCATCACGCATTACTGTAAAAAAAGAGACGAGATTCTCTTCTTTGTGTCACAAACACGGACAAATCATCGTGAATAGCTGCGAATGATTGCCTATCGGTAGTCAAAACGATTAGGTTAGGTTATACTTCAGGATGTAAAATTTTTGGAGATCGCATGAACTGAACCGACATCCGAATTACCGCATATGTTGAACGAAATTACGTCACCATAGCTATGTTGTTTGTGTCCTGCGGAACCACAGACAAGGAAGTGTCATCCTCAGATGGACCGTTTTGACCCTGTGAATAATGCATAAACTCGCATTTTTGGTGCCCAGGCCACACAGGCGGTGCTGAAATGTAGTTACTTGTAAAGAAAGGTTCACGTGTTCGGTTGAATTGGCAAAAGTACTGCTCGGTCATGAATACGCGTGCTCCATGGGACATACTGCCCCTCGATTTCCTTAGAATGTCACTTCCGATGAGCAAGCTTTTGCCATTCCGGCCGAGATTGTCCCCTTGTGACAACCGTCTTTTCGTAATAGCCACCGTAGAGAGAAGAAAAGGCTATTGTAATGGCCTTCAACGAGATATTCGCATGCGTTCCACTAAGCGACCAATTCAATCCATATTCGTCATACACATGTGTGCCACACCCCTTGAAGCAAGAAGCCGGAAAACCGGACAAACTTTTATCCATATCATCTAATTAGGAACCGCAACGCAGTCCATTTTAACCCGTTCCCTGTGCGCCTTTTTCTAAGAAAACCGACTCTTCGGATAAGGGAGTGAGGTAGACGTTTCGGTGCATACCTCCGGTTCCAGCGAGCCGATAGTTCTCATTTAGGTTGCTGTTGATTAAAACTGCAAGCGAAAACCTTTCATTCATTTCAAAGGTGATTTGCCCTTGTTCAGGGCTTCTAGAAAGCTCTCTGTTTTGGTCACTCGTTTAGCAGCTTCAATGTTCGACCTACTGGGGAACTTACGAGTGGTTTGCTGTCACCTAACGTCTCCGCAGTTGATGCCTCTGAAGCGGTTGTTGCTTCTGAAGCAGTGGTCGGACAGCAGTTGATCCCGACTTTATTCTAACGTTTTGCCACACCGCTCCGCTCCGAGCAGTCCTATCTCGTTACATCCATTTAGTGAGTTTCAGAGGCTAAAAAACGCAGGGACTTGTGCTTTTCAAGTTTCACCGTATATTACTTCCACATAGATTCACCGGATGTGTCGAGGATAGTGGAATACACACTGACCCGTGGGTGTTCTCCTAATGGAGTTACACCCAGGAAAATCAGGCCACCAAAACCCCCGAGAGGACAGTCACATAAAATTAGGCGGAAGCATAGTGTCTCCAGCGTAACATATATTGGAATGACCATCGTGTTCATTACGCGCCCTTATGCACAGTATTCATTGTCTGATCAATGGGCAAAATTACTAGCAGTTGCAATGGAAAAAGGTAACTATTATGCTGGAAGTAGTTTTGCTGAATTAAGATGGAATACTAGACAGTGGTTCCATGGTTCTTGAAAAGTGAAATTACTGGGCAACACAGGATAGAGACAGCTCAGGCGACAAAACAGTGGACAGGGTTTACGAAGAATCTGTAAGAAGGATAGACTTTTGATGGTCCAAATACAAGGTTCTCAACAAGAAGGAAAACAAAAACAAACAATCGTTCAGCTGTAACACCCTTCCGGTGCCTAGCTGATGTACCACCCGATGGCTGAGATAGTGATAGGTTGACCAAGCCTAGACAGGAATAGTCGGGATGCCGAAGTCGTATTCGAAACCCGGACCCTGCGGTCAGTAAGTTCGCGCCTTTGCCACTGAGCTATCTCGAGCTGTCTCAAGAATAAGTCGAATGTTTTCAACTGAAACACACTGGATCGTAAAATTCCAGGAAAGCTGTTCAAAAGCAGAAGCAGTCGCAACATACATGCGATGGAACTCTAAAGGAAAACCTCGCGATTAGTGAAGTGCGCGCCTGTTGTCGATTGATATGTGCGACCGATTTCTGTGCGAAAAGCTCACATAATACGGGGGACGTCAACAAACAGAAGTTTACTCTGAATACCACTCAGTAAGACAGCGCAATCAAGTAATGATCGCTAGTAATCTTATCCGTGCATGTTTGCTATGGACCGTCACTGAAGTGTATCAACAAACCAACCGGGCATTGAATGCGACACATTCTCATGCAATTGAGATGGTTTTTATGACTCTGAAATCTTAATGTGGATATACCAGGATAAAGCAACCAGTGTGAAGTTAAAAGTACGCAAGGGACGGTTTGTCTGGTGTGTATGATCCCATGAACTTTGAGGAGTCCTATTTTAACATCGGGCAGTTGCAACACCAAAATTATAGTCCTGTGGCCGAAAAACAAGCAACCTGGGTTGAGTTAAACTCACGTGGGAGCAATCCCATCATGGTTAGCTGCAACTGAAGCGCATCGTGGTTCTTCCATAGCGCTTCCCCAGGAGTGCTGACAGCTACGAAAACAGAAGTAAAGGAATCATATGGCGAAATACACTAAGTTACCGTCATGTTAATACGCGATTTGGACTGTCAAGACTGACCACACAGAGAAGTATGGCAAAGCTTCGGCCAACGTCGGCCGCACTACGGAGCTATCCGTGAGTTGTTGAACCTTTGGTCTATTATAAATTTCCCAAAGCTATACCCTAGTCTAGGGAACGCGGACTGATCGCACTCTTGACTGTACAAAAACGGCAGCAGCAGCACAAGATGGTAAACAGTCGACGTTACTTTAATTGGGATAGTGTCACGTGTGTTACTCTTTTGTGTGATAAACAAGCCTTGTATGACGTTGACCGATTGTTTAATGTGAACTGGATAGTCACTGTGTTGTAACCTCATCTGGCTGTCGCGTAGTAAACAATCGAGAAAATCCAAGCAACTGGAAAAAAGGCCTACAACCAATCACAAGAGGCAAGCCATCATTGTGTCCTGGTTGACTGTTTTATTTTGATAGCGGTGCGGTTGTCAGCTGACATGAGCACGGTCTTCAAAGCTGGTGCGTGATTTTTTATCAAGTAATATTTTGTTGATAGTTAACCTATAGCATGAACATTCAATGATTAATTGGTGAAAGCAGTATCCCGGAATACCCAGAAGTGTGCGACACCCCTTATTCATCCGAAATGCATTTGACGGAAACAACAACAACAACAACAACAACAACATAAAGAGACCCTAGTTCGGCAACTCACCGAAACACTATCCAGTACAAACTAACGCGATACGGGTGTTTCGGAAGAAAGAGTTTTTGACCAACAACAATGCGAACCTGCAGTGGTATTTTAACTGGCAACTTTCCGGACAGCACTTATTTTAGTGTGTGTGTGTGTGGGGGGTAGCTGAGTTTAAGCAATTGTATAAACGAACGGTTCAAAGGTTCGAATCCAGATTAACTGCCATCAAGTTGTATAGCTGTTGAGTAGGTCAAGTATGGGACATCAGAAACACAAAGCGCCCGCTCATAACAAGGACCTTTGAAAAAGTCTGTCATACAGGTCAGTAGTAGTGACCGTAGTAGTGATGAAAGAATAACGTTTTTAGCTCAACAACTTCAAACAGGAGGTAATAAAGATGACATGACAAAACTGCAAGCCACTTTTATTCCATGTCGGCGCGCACGTGCCTGGATTTAGAGAGTCAGGGGACGGTAGTATGATAATTGTGAGTACTCCACATACCCGCTCAATTACTGAAGATGCACACTTACACAATATCAACACAGAATAAGTGCATGCTTAGCGAAGGTTACCAAAATCTGTTTATCCAGTGCCAACAGCTGATTTCATATTCAAAAATCAAATGCGCACTAAAGTAACGACTAGAGAATATAGAAACTCAGGCTTGACGGGGCTTTCGAATGCGCACAAAATAGTGTGATAGAAGAAACCAATGTGCATAAAACTAAGACAATGAGAGTTATTCTCTCTATGTACGCGTGCATGTGTCCACTATCACGAGCTCATTAATTCAAATCTCTCCTCCTACCAAGTTGGAGCGAATTTAGGTAGGTTTCTAAGATTGATCTCTGAAATTCAAATGATCTCTTACTCAAACTTAACAGGGTCAAATTTAAATGAGCATCTGATTTCAAAATCGACGGCAGCGATCACTAGCATTGTGAGGTGGACAAGTTCAGTAGAAAGGGTTACCAAAGTGTGGTCCGGCGTGTGATTAATCTGGGACGATCTGAGTCGAAAAGGTTGCCATTTCATTAGGAAACAGGCTGGTGGGCTGGCTAACACATCTCGTGGACACGTTAAAAACGGACAAAGGAGGTGAAACAAATGTGAGGAATGTGAGTCTGAGGAAAGTCGCGCGCGCACGCGCAGTTAGCGAATGATTAAAAAAAGGTGACTACGGAAATAAGGTCACGTGCCGACACCACATAAGAGAAGTAGCTTCACTACACATTATCACAACGGGTCTTCTAAAAAACAAGTGACTTTTATGGTGAAAGTTAGACGTTTTAAAAACGTTTAAATTTGTATTGGGTGAACACGACCGGATCAAAAGTTAGATGACCCCGTTATTGAGTGTGGCAGCTATAGGTGCTTTAGTTGCCTAAATCTGGAAAAAAACCTGGAAGGGACCAAATAAAAGTGATCCCCACTCGAGTGGAATAATGGAAAGCTAGAGTATTGGAAGTTGTCTGCCAAAGTCTTATAGGATGGCTCGCAGAGATTGTTGTAAATGAGCCGAAATACCTACAAGTCCCAAATTATATATGAACGCAGAGATTCACCGTTCTATCCCACTTAAAAATTTTTCCACGAGAGTCATTTCAGTGTCCAGAATGTCGCTGATCTCGCCCGACTAGTTTCAGTTGACCCGAGTTCCGGATGGAAATTATTCAATGTACTCAACGCTCCCTAGAAATAAATTTCGAAAGCCAACGAAAAATTGCAAACTGGTGAAGCTACATACATTGAAAAAGTGGAATTCCGGAACACTCAACCATACGATGTCTTTCTTATTCTTTGGAGTTACCAAGTGGGTGTTGATAAGACCGGTTGTAAACAAAGGGTTTGTGTTACTCAGGTTTAGTATCTGCTTGAAGTCTAGGTAAAAGCCTAGTAACTATCCGATCGATGATTAGTCGGACAGATTAACAATTTGATTATTCACGAGCATAAAACAAGACTCACCATTGAGGTCACGCCTGTTATCTGAACTTTACGTGCTTTTTTCAGTTACCTGCGAATATGTTTTCAGTTAGAGATTCCCCCGGATTGGAACTCCATCTATACAAGAACACAACTAAGTCGCCGGAGCCACCAAATCGAGTATGTCTTCAGTTCACCCGCGTGTATGTCCCACAAATTATCTATATAACTTAGAACGGGCAATCTATCGGTTGTAGGCAAGACAAGCGAAGCTAAGAAAATTCTTGTTTCAACCAAGGGACCAAGAGTTGATAGGAGCTGAGGACTGGTCTCTCCGAGGTACTATGCCTCAAAAGGCCCAAAAAAATAGGGGGGAAAAGAACGGAATTTCAGGGTGACCTCTCTTGGGATCGTGCTTTTGTGAAAGGCGCACCACAACACTAGAGGAGAGATAAAACAGACGTCAGACACCAACAGCTATTGATAATACACGTAAATGAGGGCAACAGGACACGCGCCTTTTGGAGAACATTTCTGAAACAATGATTTCACACAAAGAGTGCTTGTCTACTTAAAGACACTCATAAGGAACAAACAAGGCTGTGTCATAGTGAGCAGTTTTCTGGTATGAAATGTTCCCCCTACTTCTACTCCAACAGGAAAATACACTGTCCCATGTACAAGAATCCGACCTCTACCTCTCGACTTTCCCTGTCTAGGCTTGGACAACCTGACATGTCCCAGCCCTTGTGCTTCCTTTGGTTGGCATTCAAATAGACACCGAAAAGGTGCTAGGGCTGGACAAAAAAAAACGGCATCGTTGGACAGCAACAACTTTGTCTCCACTGTCTGGTGGTCCTGTTACTGCGTCCGTGAAGACAATGCAACTAAAAAACAACCTAACGGAAGAGACTCTACCCATCGCTAGCGTGAAATTTCACACCGTTAGGTGTACTTGGGCGAGCTGAAGACACCTCTTTAGCTTGGACAGGCCATGCACAAAACTAAAATAAAAATGAGTAACACTTCTTTCGAACTTCCGTAAATGTGGAGCGATGCACTCGTCATTTTAGCGGTCGAAACCCATCATGTCTCGTGAATTCCACTCAGTTCTGAAGAGATAGTTGAGTCCATTTCAATACGCTTTGAACTTTGAAAGTTACAGGCTCTTTAACGAGAATGCGCCTACATTTTTCACAATAACCCCAAAGGAAAATTTTGCTACGTCTCGCGCCGCCGCTTGGAGCGGGAATGAAACTATGTACGTGTGGCTTTCATCCAAGGAACAAATTGGGCTTTTGTTTGGAACCAATGTTGACTGTGACTGTCATATCATTTGAACGAACGTACTATGCATCATATAGGCGTGTCCGGAAACAGTGAGAAAAACGGACTAGAGCAGATGTAACAAGCAAAAGCGAACCAAATACAGAACAGACAATTGGTTCTAAAAGAGACTGAAGGTTTTGAGGACCGAGCTCGAGGCGGGGGGGGGGCAGACTGATGATGTAGAAGTATCTGAGTTACTACACCTCGTCTACTATGACTTCGCCAAAGATAAGTGATTTCCACCACATCGAACAGGGGTTGTCGTAGTGTGAAGGGACGGAAGGCCTATCGATGTAGTTGCCACTCACACGTACCTGGTTATATCTGAGAGGGAGTCGTTACGCGGAAGAACTTTAGGCGGACAAAGCACTGTACTTGAAAAATACAACTCACCGGGATTGACGAAAGATGGATAGCTAGGGGTATGTACATGAGCACCAGCACCAAGGGAGTTAAGTAGCGTCGGGGAAAGAAACGTAGGCGGAAAAGATTGAGAAGAAACGTGACCAGCAGTGATCGGACGTCCCCCTGTTGGAGAGACCAAATTTAACGTTGAAGCAACCAGCGCAGGAGGGTAAAATGTGCCAGCAGCAGCACCCAACCGCGCTGAAAGTTGGGCTGCACTAACTTTGGCGTTGGATGTGTGTGTGCTAGATGGGCGAGGAGAATGCGCTGAGGTGGACGCCACGAACTGTCTATGCGACTGTTGATGAGCTTCACGTGACTGCTGACCAGTCAGTTTTGCTTGTTGATAATGATGCTGCGTGGCAGCCGCTGCAAGAAGCATTGCTTGTTCGTAAGCTGCTTGTATTTGCTGCTGCGTAGGAGACGGATCGTAAGGTGCGGGTGTAACGTTGTTCCCAGATGGTTGGTTGGGTGTGGTCGAGGTTCTGGCAGCGGGAAGATATGTGGAAGGGTTTTTGAAAGAGGATGCCGCACTAGACTGTACAGAGGAGTGTTGTTGACCAAGTAGGGCGGAGCCATCATAACTCGAAGCTCGAGAACAGGGTGGAGCTAGGCGTTGGGTAGGTGACGAATGCAGCGTACGGGCAGAGAGGTTCAGAGCACTCGAATCATGTACACCAGAATTCGAGATTGCGAAAGGGCAACTCACTGACCCATGGGATTCGGACGGGCGCGACTAAAGATGAAATAAACAGATTATACCCCAGCTGTCTACGAAAGTGTTCTCAAACTGCTTGGGAAGCAATTGTACTCTGGTGGCATTGAAATGACAACACAAACCAACTTAACAAGACATCACAGTTAGGCACTATTTCAGTAGAAGTAACTATCTTCGGTCAGCGAACAACCCTTTTCTGAAATTGATGTAAAGTGGACCATCCCAAGAGTGAATATAAACAAAGATTGGAAGGTTGTCAGATTTTGGAGTGAACAATTACGGTTCCTTAATAAGGCAAGAAGAATCGGATTAGGGCATCCTTTCCGCTTGTCGAAGGGATTCGTCCATGGAAAGCGGGACCGTATGTTTCCACAGAAATCAAATGGAACTGGTATGGGAGAGGGAACAAGTTAATACTCTACAAAAGATGGCATTTAAAAATCCCTGAAAACGTCAGCGCTCCTTATGTACACTGATCGAAACCGATGATGGGAAAGTAGAGAAGAGCTAAACAGTCAACCAAGCCTAATTTACTTGCTGCAGGCACAATGAATAGAGTGGATAGTGTACATACGAATTTCAAAGGATTGATCAATATTACTCAAATACGCGTCATAACAGCTGTGCATCGTACCTTGAAGGTCTCAAAGCAACTGAACGAATGCACAGCGGTAATAAGTGAGCAATTTATGTGTCCTGAATTTTTAGCACTTTGGAGCACTCAGACGGTGGGGTTTTTTCTAAGAGTCGCTGCAAGTGCTTGTTTAGGTACAGGTTACACAGATGATGGTCGTGGAAGATTCACTGTGGCAAACGCAATCATTTTGTAATAGAGTCGGCTCAATATAAAAGGACTCCGTATGGGTCATTCATCAAAAGAAACGTGCAGCGCAATAGCTGCCATTTTTTAATTCATGGAACTCACAGATTCTAAGGGAAATTGGCTTAGAATTGCAGCTGAGGACAATTCACAGGCAGAATCTGACACCAGCCATTTTATCGGTCCGTCCGTGTCTACTAGGAAAAACTTTCTCCTAGACGCAGTAGCCGATAGTGGAACCTTTAAAGATAGGTATAATTACAAAAGTGACTTTTGATTGACAGACGGCTGAATGCCACAAATGTGGATGGATTGACCACGTGACTTTGTCGACCGATGTGACCTCATGAATACTCTATGGGGCTTATAAAGTTAAAAAGAATATTGGCAAATTGGTTGAGAAGCTCAAAATGTTCACATAACAACCAACAAAACACTACCAATCACAACCTGCTTAATGTGTTCATAAGATGTTGCGCCATAATAATTGTCTTGGGCTTGAAATGCGTTTAATCGGGGTGGATGGCATGAGCAGATCCAAACAAGCAGGTTACCTGAGGAAGTTTCATGTCGGCTGACACAACGAACAGTTCAGCAAAACCTCACCTGATGTTTGGATGGTTCCGCCGCTGCGTCAGTTTTACCGCCCGAGCCGATTGTTAACGCCCCAGGCCCCACAGCTGTTTCCAAATGGCACGAGTAAAGTTCATGACGTGCCACAGCTAGCTCTTCTTCCGTTAAACCGCGACCATCATAGATGACATCAGTTCGCGAACAGCTTCCAGCATTGAACAGTGTTCGGTTGGTGTCTGTGGGAACTCGTATAGTGACGGACCGATCCCATATACGAACTAAACGAGACCAGGTAGATCGGTGTATCTGCCTGGTATCACGGAAAAAATTAAGGAAAAATGTGGATAATTCTTGGCTGATTGTCAACCGGTGGGAAGAGATCATAATGACCACTGTTTTTGCAACGGGGAAAGCTAACCGATGAATTGGCAACGACAGTGGGATGATTTCTAACACAAAGCGACCATTCAAACGGTTCATCGATAGCTTATTCTTTTTCCTTCAAATTCAGCTGAATCTAAGATNAAGAGTCTGTTCGTCTTACTCCAGGTGTTTAGATTCAGGTGAACAAACCCCAGCTCCACTCAGGTGATCAGCCTTGTCCATATATTAGGCGGTGAGATGGGGGCACCTTTGGAACCAAAGGCCTCGATTTGAGTTTTCAAAAGAAAATACTACGTCAAGACTGGTATCAGGGAAAATTGGGGTAGATGGATATACTCTCATTCAGATGAGTGTTTATGACAGTCTCGTCATACAGCGTTGTAAAGACTCAAATTCGAAAGAACATTTTACGAGAAATAAAAATCTCTCCTAACAATTCAAGAGTGATGGTCAAGCAGCGACCAGTCTGAGTCGGCTTAGGAGACGCGACTGGATCGCCTTGCAACTTCGACCGGACCGCATTCATCTGTGTTTTCTTCTTCATTATCGTGAAAGCACCAACCAGTAAACCCGGTTGCGCTGATCACTGCCGCTTCCCTAGAGAGGGACTCAATTGACCAATTGAATGCAAAGGTGGGAAAAACCTATCGAGCAGGGAGAAATGTGTCAGCGCCGATGCGACAAACTAGAATGAGTGACCTGAGTAATACGGAGTTGGGAGCCAACCACAGCTTTGATCTTTGGACACCAAACGAAAGTTTAGCTCAGTCATCAGTCAAATGGGGGAAAATAAGCAATCAATATGAGGTCGATTCAACGTTAGTTAACATAAAACTGCAAGTGAACTGAGACCAACCTTAGGCATGGTGTGAGTGACGAGACATGAGCCATTAATTCAACTTCAGTTTCACTCTCTGCGTCCCCAGCATCATCTCCCTCCACCTCATGATGCATGGGAGAAGATCGCGCTCTTACTTCAACCTTTGGCGAATGGGACGCGTTGTTGTCAGCAGTGAATCCGGATAACTGTTTTTTTGTATCAGGAAGAGACCATTGGCTTGCGGTGATCGTTACCTGCAGAGGGCTAGTGTGAGATTCCTCACCGGTGGTGGAGTTAGCTGGCGGCCACGAAGGGGAAGTTTTGGTCACGAGCGGTGTAGCTACGAATGCAAGAGAGGAGTGGGAGAGAAGCATTTACCTCGACTCGTTCACGATGACGAACTATGGAACTAGTGAAGTACACCGGTCGTTGGTGAGGTGGATCACGGTTAAGGAACAAAATCGTCTCTATGGCCTCAAAAGGACAAATCTTATCACTCAATCTCGAATGTTGACAGGGTGAATTGTGTGATCAACATACAAATCGCTAAGGACAGCATCATATAAAGTTTCTGGATCCACATTCTGACATTTAAATAACAAATAACCGCATAAAATAAAGGTGGTGAGTAGCAAGCTGGTTGGCTAATCAGAGCTGTTATGGTCCAAACAAGAGCCTAAGCATTTAGTTTTGGGTTAGTAGCCAGAAAGTGACCGTGAGGAAAGTGATACATTGAAGGACAACATTGATGACTAACGTATTATCATGTGTTAACACGCGTAGAGGTAGGAGATGAAGGAACTGGGGAGCAAACGGAAGAAAATGCGTCGTGGGTAATGTGAACATTATTTAAGACCAACCCGCACCACAAACTCCTGCGTTAGCCACTTCGTTCGATTCTTTGACCTCAGGATGCGTTACACAAGGCATTTTCGAATGAATAGACGCGTGGGGATAATTCTCATATCGCGGACGCTTGGAACGCTTTCGGAGAGTGCGACCCTCAATGTTTTTCCCAACAGTTTCGGGTCCAGTGTCTGAACTTGCACGGGAACCTGACGATGGCGAAGAGCAATCGGACTCCAGGGATGATGAAGAGGAGAAATAGTCCTCGGAATCGAGTGCAGTCGAACATGGAGAGGAGTGACATAGCGAATATGTCGACGAGTATAATGAAGATGTCTGGGCGTCCGGATTCCAGGAGTGACGTGAACAGGAGACTGGACTGGCTATAGGCGATACTGGTGAACCATGAGTTGGATCATCGGTAGCAGTATGGTCAATGCTAGGCTTGCCTGTTCAAAATGAGATTAAATCGTGTTAGGGCTGAAAACGCCCATCTCTGTGCGCACACAACAAGGATATATGAGATTATGGCCAACGGACATTGTAACCAGAGTACACAGATCATCCCAAACGCTTGGGAATTACCTGGAGATCAGACTAGTCTTTAACAAACACGCAAATCTTTAGCATCCCGACAGACGAAACAAAGCGGCGTGACTGAAAACATTATTGAGACAACCTCAGTAAAATGAGCTGTGCCCCTTGTCAAAGGGTGGATTGTTTCAGTAAAATCCCCAGTTCGTATACGACCCGAAGAACCCGTAGAGAGTAAGAGTAATTCTTGATGGGTTTTGCAAGCTGTTTGTGTAGAACGACGGACACTGTAAAGTATATGGTGGACGTAGAACAAAGTAGGTGGCTCAAAGTGGAACAGAAAGTAGGATTATCAGCACAAACTATTACGTCCAACGAGGTGAAATCAGCTGCCTGGTCGGACGGGCGGCATCATTAAGTAGAATGAGGGGTTACGAGCCCTCTCCAACATAAACACACGGCTTATCACTCAGTAATAGAAAGTGCTATGAGTGTTGAAATTATGAATTTCTCACGCAAGAATATTTGACCACCCGCCGTCTCAACGGTCGGTACTTTTGAATAAAATGTTATTGCCCAAGACTTTAGGTAGACAAATTCATATTGCCCAGCTCTGTCTGTAATCAATGTGATTAATAATGAAGGTCAAAGTAATCATCAAGTGCCGCTTCAAGATAGGTTGATAAAGAAACCTAAGCAATCCGATATTAAAAAGACGATTTAGGCATTGGGGAGAAACTAAGAAACTGAATACGCATACACCAATAATACAAATGCGATTAATTGAGTAATCTAAAATTACTGAAACACGTTGAGCCTGACCAACAAATTTCACCGAAAGATTCTGACACATTACCATAATCACCATCGACAGCATGACAGCTTCGCTGCTGTACAACCATGATTTATTTGAAAGCCTTATTGTAAGGAAAGAACAAAGGTGGACGGGGAAGGAAATAGGTGCTAGCTTACTACAATTATTCAGAGGTGTCTGTTCTGACACAGGGAGGAACAACACATGCAAGAAAATTTCTGGGAGTATAGTACACAACCACGAATTCAACCAACCAACCAGCACATTGAACCCAATCATATCTATGAGCGAAACTCCAAACACAAATACAACCGAACGTCAAACAATGGGACCAGATGATAAGAACAACCGAAGGACCAAGCCAGCATTGGCCACAGGGCAAGAAAATTATCTGGGCATCAAACAGTCACCCATAAGACACACCTGAAGACATGCAGATGGCCAGATATTGCTAGACGTTGCTGAGTTTAGCTAATAAAACGGTGTTCGCATAAATACACTTCTCACAATCCCTAACACTCAGAGTGATGAGTATTCTTGCTGGCACAAATGATAACAGTTAAATTCGATGGTGCCCACTGCGGATAACCTGGGGATCTGCATTACTCATGAGCCGAATACATCGTATCCATACAGCGTCCTACACTTACCCGTGGTTTAACTTCATACGGTGGAGCTCACGGGACTTATTCCAATGGCACTTCTAAACATTAAAAGGAGCCTTGCATAGGCTACGTGAAGAGACCTAGATAATTGGCTTCAATGATATTTACTTCTGGTGGATCGGTGAAGTGAGATGTCAAATGCAAGTCACACTCACATGATGTGCTATGGTTAACCATGACCTGTTTCGATCTTCACGACGATGGTCACGGAAAGTCGTTTTCAGGACCGTCACAGGTCTACTTAATTGATAACCTCAGGAGGACAAGATAATTCTAGTAATCTTATTCACTAAGCTTCGCCAATGGAACGCTGTTTTCGCTCATTACCAACCGGTCTGAAGAAGCTAGCGCGAACAAGACAGAAGTCGCTGTAAACCCAGTTTGTTTTTATTCAGGTTGAACAGCCACAAAGATACTATTGACTCATGTTCGGAGCTGCACGATGTCCTAACGTAGAACACTTTTCTCCACGTGCTAGCCTAAATCGTGCATGCATACTGCACAGAGACGACCAACGAATGGAAGCCACTCGTGTAAAGCGGTTTCTGCCTTTTTACAGGAAATAATAACACCGGCATAGTGACAACAAGTGAAACGTAGAAGGTTGCTACCGAGAGTGACGGAGGTCTATTCCACGAAGGTCAAACATGATGAAGTTGTTCCTATGCTTCCCCCAACACTTAGTGAAGGCCATTCATGCTGACCTTTTGCGTAACGTTTATTGGGTGTCCGCAACTGTCACTTGGGAACCACCTGACCCGACGGGGACACATCGCACCCTGGTATCGTCGCCGCTATTTGTTCACTACTGTCTACTTACCACAAGTGACTTATTCACCGTGAAGCTTCCAAGGAAATTCCTTCGCAGTCCACACCTGCGGACATATTCGAAGGTATTACAGCTCTGCCCAGTTTGAGTAGTCGATGTATCGGATGTTGGCGTCCGGTAAAGTCGATTTTCATATCAACCCGTCTACCCAAAATCTTTCCACTTCGAGATCAGGTGGGGACAAGCTCTCAAAAAGCTTTTGCCTCCGTGAGAGTGAAAACGTCAGCCGTAAAATAAACACACGGGAGCACTATTTAAACAAATAGTCAACACTGATTTGTTCAAAACAGTGACTTTTGCACAGAAGCTAAGGTATAGAAATGCACTGCCAGAACATTTTGATAAATGCATCGCCAACAGTCATGCCAAAACTCTCACCTTCGTCTGTCGTTTCCACACAGGAAGATGGAGGATGCTGGAGTGGGGAAACAAGCAGTAAACAGTAAAAGTAAGCAAAGTATAACATATCATATTATTTGCGTTCAGAAAGCGTTCAGCTGTAGCACCCTTTCGGTGCCTAGCTGCCATGCCACCCAAAGGAAGCACGAGGGCTGGGATATTGCCAGGGTGCCCAAGCCTAGACAGGGGAAGTCGAGTGGCGGAGGTCGGATTCGAACCACGAACCTTCCGGTCAGTAAATTCGCGCTCTAACCACCTGGGGCATCTCGCCCCCATACTATTTGTGACGAAGCGCACACACGCACACGTGAGAACAAATCTTCCTAGGCACAGTACACAAGCAAAAATCCATTTCTAGGTATGCCTAGTTACCGGGGACAACCGTATAATACGAATGGCCTACATAAGTTAATTAGCTAACTCCTGCTTTGATGGAAATTCAAAGTTATCTCGAAAATAACGTCTGTCTGTTGAGCTAGCTGTCTCAGAAAAGTCGCGACAGACTGCTGGAACGTTTTGTAAGATGACCGGTCAAAGAACATGTGATCATGTCAATCGATAAAAGGCATGGTTATGCCACATCAGTAGCTAAATCCTTTAATATATACCGAATGTCCTGTGGGCCGCGCCTTGAAACTACACGAAGTGGAAATCGGTCAGTGAGTGTTGGGGTTCGAGAGTCGTGTACCAGCATAAACTATCAGCTCTTTAAGTATACAAAGTTACCTTCACCTCAATGCAGAGATCACCAGACCGAAGGGCGCATTCACAAGAAAGTCTTCGTTTCCAGTGGTATGTAGAACGTGGGCATAGAGGGACCGAGCACATAACCACTTGCTTAAGAGCTCCATGGTGTTATACTCACGACCCGCGTATCAGCCACTGAGGGGACACTTGCGCAACTCATATAATGGCACACACGATGACACTATCCGGTTACTCAATGGGACTTTGAATACAGGAATAGAAGAATTTTTAAAGTGGCACTCTCTACTCAACACTTAGTATACATTATGACTTACGGAGACCTCACTATGCAACTGAGGCGGCGGATACGCAGCAAGCGATGTTGACTTCAGTTCGCCGTATTTTTGTAGATGATTACGACACGCGTGACACAAGAAACGTAACTGTCCCACCTGAAACCGGAGATGCGGAGAACTGATACTGGCAATAAAAAAAATCGAAAGCAAATCTAGATCATAGTGTTCGAAAGTGGTCGTCTGCGTCAAGTTGAGTTTATTCACATTAACACATGGACCTGAAGTTATAAGCGATCTATTTGGAGAGCAAATGGATAGACTGAGGAGGAAAGTTTGCGTTGATTTTGTCAATTTTTCTTTGCTTCCACTGCCTTCTTGAAAAGAACGAAATCCGCCGAAGGTGACGGAATACGACTTGGATTCACATTAGTGTCCCATTTCATTTGATTATGAAGAAACAAATCTTTCATTACCGCCCAAATGAAGCACAGAATGAAACTTTACGAAGGATATCTCGACAGAAAACGCGATCCAGCCGTATAAAAGGTGGAAAGGAACACGGAAGAAAGGGTCCATCTGGTGAATTTCAAACTGAACTGCACGCGACAAGGAAGTAGTGAAAACAAACTTAGAAAAACTGGTCATAGACGCTGCCAACGAAGGTGAAGCACCACATTGCCAGTAACAGAATACAATTCTGACTCGAAACATGAACCATACATTCACAGAACTACTGACCTGTCAAAACGAAGAATTCAGCGTACGAATGTAGAAAGTGATACAACTGACAGTAAGTGATATCCGTATGACGAAAACAAAATGTGAGTAAACTGACCCCAGTAGGCTGAAGTGTATCCGTTGGCGAAGGCAACTCTTTGGCACAGTTGCGACATAATCGGCGACGCAAGCGACCGGAAGGGGGCAGGTCTTGTTCTGCTCCAGCTAGTTTGTTTGAAGTTACCTCGAATAAGGAGTCTTTATCGTCCTTTGCAATCACGTTGTAATCCGATGTCTCATCTACAAATGGAGCGTTAATCTTTTAGAGTACTGACAAACTAATTGAGCGATATGATAACCTGTGAACCGATTTGGGCAGTATTTGACCACAAGAATGAACCGAATGAGTTAAAAGGTACACAGCTTCGGGTTAACTGGTGGTCGGTTGAAAAGCCTCGTTATAGTGTCATCCGAGAGAACGGCGTCAGCGTCAGCGTACTTCCGTAAAAATATTCGACTTCGTTTTTCTCTTGCGAACTCATGCTCGATATGCGAACTACCCTCCATAGACTCAACAGAGTTCCTGCCACAGACTCGACGGACAGAGGCAAGATTACAGCACACTCTGCCAGACGGAAACTGATTCTTTGAACCATACTCTATTAAACCGGAAGGATCGATCAGTATGTGGATGTTTCAAAGTTGCATGAGTATGACTTCACTAGCAATTACCACAGTGAACATCGGCGTAAGATGAGACCGGAGCAAACTGAAACGTCAGAAGTTATCATGCATAAGTCACGCTAACATTACTAGAATGCCTTTCACTCAACATAAGTGCCTCACTCCAACCAACGGAGGGCATATGCAACGTCATCAAATGCTAATAAAGAAAATTTCAGGAAAGTTTGGTAACAATCGGTAGAGTTATTGCTGGGCACTTAAGTTGGTTTGTTTACATTAGGCTACGGAAATAAGTTTCACATGGCCTACTGGATTCTGTAAAATTGTACAACAATCGTCGTCGCTGTGATTATTCCAAAGTAGTAGTTCTCAGCCGAGCGCGGATTGTTTTACTGGCCAACAAACGAAAAATGTCCATGACTCTTCACACAAAAAATAACTCGGATTCTTGAAAGGTAGGACCGAACGTAAATTACAGCGGATTGTGGATGATTCTTTAGTCAACTAATAACGTGATAATTTAACTTAGGTTATCCGTGCCGCTTCGCTCCTGTTTTACGTAGGACACCTGCGAGAATCAGTCAAAATAGTTCTATTCATTTTGAGTGTCTGACTCGCTGCGCCTATTCTTTTTAATCTGTAGCAGCCGCTAGAACACGACTGATTTTGTTACGTCACCACAAACAAAAGCTTCTATTCCTGATACTTCAAAATAAGGGGCCCACGTCAAGGGCTGGGATTATTGAATTTTTCATTCATAACTAAGAACCGGATGAAGCAATGCGGTAGAAATGATATGGCACGGAGACCACGGAGAGCAGTCATACACGGTTCATTGCGGACGATTATGACAATGCGCAAACACAATTATGGTTCCATAGTCTAGTGGCCTCAGCTAGAGAGGTTGCTGCAACTACCTGAACTTCAAGGGGGACTAAGACATCGATAGGGATATCTGTCAACAGTGTGCAGTTCATTACCATCAATTTGGTTCACGACCGGACAATTTTCGGTGCTACCTGACTGGGAAGATCTGACAAGAATATCAACCAACCGACCCAATCAGGAGTTGCTGCGTCGTCGTTCGAGGAGTCGGGCAAAGTAATCGCATCGCGAACACATTCGCCTGTTCAGAAGTGAGAATTCAGGTACGTCCAGCGTAAACCGTCGGAGTAGTAAGAACACGCTAGCTTCATACGTCAGATGTCCAAAAGTTGAAACCTCGGTACGGCCAAGGATATGCGCTTGTGATGAAACTCGAATTCAGTGCTCCTCTATTTCGTGTGGACTCACGAGGACAACTGTACCAGAAGGACTGTCCAAATGATGTGTACGTGAAATGGAACTTAACCTTCCCCAATAGGGGTCTCGCAAACAGCAATACAACTGCCATCGGAATGTACAGTAGGGTGAGTCGGACATAGTAAGTCAGACCTACACTAATATTAAGGGGACCGGCCTTGAATCCACATAAGTGGTCCGACTGTCGGGACAGCCAGAGGTAAGATGACGTTGGAAGAACGTTAACGTTAAGACCATCAGTCTGAGAAATAAACTCGCTGTGCAGCGAGGCGAACGTCTGCCAGAATACAAGTCGTAATGCTAACCTCTTCGTCAGACGACCCGAGCAGGTGATGCCATATGACACCATGCAGGTTACTCATTCGTCACGTATCTCTGAATTATCACTCCAATTACTGGTTATGGAAGAGTGGTGGCTACTATGGACAGAGAATAAGTGGAACATTTTAGGTGTTCCGAAAGTTGGATAGCGTGGACACACGCGCAAAAGCCTGGGTCCTCACACCTCTTCATACAGTTGGGATTTTCTCTAGAACGGAGCTTCGAATCTAACTCAACCATCCGATCAGTCGCGTTGGAAACTAGTACACGACGGAAAAAACGTGTGATCCATTCTATCGGCTACACATAGAGAGAACAGTACAGAGCTAACAATCGGCACTTTTGACTTTACGATCCCGGTGACGGAGGACACCTTTGGACACAAATGGCCGGACTCAACAAACGGCATACTCGGTGAAGACGAATGTAATCCACCCATCAATGTACAGAAAAACAGTGAACGCAGTCATAGTGAAAATGAGATCTCTCCGTGGCATGTGGGAATCCGAAAGATCGTTCGCACAGAGCTGAGACAGCTAGACAGTTGGGGTCATGTGGGAAATCTCGGACCAAGTCCAAATCATCGATTCAGGGTAAAATTCCTCAAGTTGTCAAGAGGGACGAAACTCGACCCAAAAATAGTGTCAATGTTCTCTACAGAACAGCCTCATGTTCGTCCTAATCACCATAAACCACAAATCCTTTCGTGGTTATAATTACACAAGGTAGTTCAATTGCTCGCCTGAAAACAATTCATTCTAACGCTAAAGAGGTGATATACTGATATGATATGGAGAAACATTGATGCACAAGTTTTGGAGGGAAAATCATGTGTTCGCACGATTGGCTCCATAGTGAATGGCCGCTACTCGCAGAAACTAGTATGGGAGAGTTTTCAAGAAATTACCTTGTAGCTGGTTCAGCACGCAATTAAAATGCTGAACTATAGCCCAGGCAGATATGCTTACCACTAGAACTGTCTCAGAACACCATACTGGTTGTTTTTGACAACACATATAGCTCAAAAACGGTTTCAGTGGTTGCATCAGAGAAACGCGAGATTAGTCGTTTGTACAGTGGAGTAGGCAGAAATGTAGGCGGTGGTGGCGATCGTGAACAGTGGCGCCTCACAAAGACGAGTGCTAGATTATGACCTCCGTGTACAAGGAACCTGAGGGGAAGTCTGAAAGCACTCAGTGCCAAGGGAATCCTGCTCATTTACTCAGCTTGGGTAACACAAGTATCACAATACTAGAGCAGACCTACTCTACCAGGAGATCAAGTCCGCCGGGTAGCCAATCGAGGACACAAGAGTTGACGATGGAGTACCGGGTTTGAGCGAGCGACGGATTCAAAGAACGGGACACAGTTAGTACAGCATATTCACAAGGTTATCTGGTTTTCCAAGCATCTAGTCCTATGAGTGAACATGCTCGGTGCTTTCCGGACGGCTTGGAAAACATAATAGGTGGACCAGAAGAAACGGTAATTCGAGAAAAGCAGAGATCATTGTATGAAGACGTTAAACTTGCGGAGAAATGCATTTTGTGGGTATTTTTATCAAAGATACTATTTAGTGTAAAGTAAAATGTGCTGAATAATGATATCGAACACAAGGAAGCAGAACGCCGGGCTTCCCAAGTAACTACCCTTGAATGAGTAGAAAATAGGTACGAGAATTCACGGACACCCGAAAATCATGTAACAGAGAATAAAAATTTCACTACATACAAACCCAATAATTAGCCCACGGGAAGCGAAGCTGAAAAATGCGACTATATGAGAAAATATCACTAATTTATGGTACGCGACTTATTCTGGTACGTGTAGCGTACAATTAGTTAGCTGCAGTCGATGTAAATCGATTGCCTGAAAACAAAAGGAGTACAGAAATCGTTACGGCCATAAATTTCCTAGACAGGATATAGCGCCACTTATCCTTCAACCATGGAGTCGAAATCACATGATCACCCGTTGATTGACTGGCTAACCGACTGAAGACTCCCTCTTTAGTCCAGGAGTACGGTCAAATCTTAACTCTCACCTATCGAGGGACAGATAGATAGAAAGTGAATGCATATTCAGAAAGCGTTCCAATCACGAGAACTGGAATAACTCTTCTTCTTTTACAGTAACAGTCTATTGAGCGAGCAGCTAACCTCACTGAGATAAACCAGTTCTCCTTAAAAGAAAGATAATCTTGAGAAGGTCGTGATCGTCTGTGAAAATTAGGCAGAGTTCAAAGTGGAGGGAAATGAAGTTCAAACCAAATCGAAACCTTCTTGGTTTACTTGAACACTAGCTTTTCTAAGGTGAACAGACTCGTCTTACAGCAGTTACGTACAATTACCAGTAATTGTGGACTAAAGTTGATAAGAACTAGGTCAACGTAAGAACATTAGACACTAGATCAGAGGCGTAGGGAACATGTGCCTGCTCACCACAGAAGGGAGGTGTCGTTTCAATACACGTGTGAGATTTAGGTAACATGGTCGAACGCATAATTTTGGCAGTTAAAGTAGGTAGTTTGGTCTTTGAGTGCGTCTGCGGATCAAAAAACCCTCAGCACCATAGAGGAGAATGTCGGTAGCTCAGGTAGCGTAGATGGTCGTTGGCTTGTTCGCTGAGCTGGGCAGTTTGGTTGCAAACGTTTCATCACCAATCGAGGTGACATCATCAGTGCGTAGTTGTGCGTAGCGGTGGGTTAGTGGTTGTGCACAAACACTAACCCACCGCTACGCAAAACTACGCACTGATGATGTCACCTCGATTAGTGATGAAACGTTTGCAACCAAATTGCCCAGCTCAGCGAACA